AGGATCATGTGAGCCAGCAGGGCTAGTCTGATGGGTGGGTAAGGATCATGTGAGCCAGCAGGGCTCACCATTGGTCGGCTCTTCTCAGGGGATGGGGAAGTTAGTCTTTGGAGCTGGAGAGAGTCCCAACATTCCCCCTTTATTCATGTAAAAACCTATTGGGGAATTACGTCTTCTAGTCACAAGGTCGTCATGACCTACCATAGAGACAAAAGGATTTAGTAGGAAACATTATTTCAATGACGTATGATACAGAAACTTTCAGTGTATTATTAGGATTGAGGTCTTAATTAACTAACTCTGAAAGATCAAGGTTGTTATTATTACTCTGCTAGACACTCATCAGAAGATTTTTAGTCTTTTCCCAGTTTTACTGGGAAGCACTGTGTTGGGCCCTAGGAACGCAAACAGGTTGATGTTTAATGTAAGCCTTCCCTGGGGCCTCAGAGAAGAGGGCTCATTGGCATTACTCATTATAGTGGCGCAGGGTGTTCAGTGTAGTTTCAATCCTTCCATCAGCACTTACCTGACTGTGAAGGATCTTGGAAGTTATTTAAGGCAAGTTTTTAAGAAAGCTGTAAGTTTTGAAACAGCCACAAGGGCTGTAATTGTAGAAACAATCATTTAGAGTAGTCACTTCAGGAGTCATGAGATAGGAGCTTGCCTAGGTCTGGTTAATGGCCTGCATCCGTTCCACAGCCTGACCGTCAGCCTCAGCATGCTGGCTGGCAGGGGGACAGAGGACCATCGATGAAGGGTCAGTGTCCTCCTCCTCTGCCAAAGTTAGGCAAGTTGCATTTTTTTTATAGATTATGCGATGTTTAATCATCTTTTCTTTCGATTCTCACATTTAAAGAGTCTCTTAGGTCAGGCATGTAAATATTCTAGAGGCAGAAGTCAAACATCACACATCCTTTTGGGTGCCATCTGGCTGAGGATTAAGTTTTCTAGGAGTGATGACATCCTGGTGCAGTTGTTCTGGTCCGTTCTAGGAGAGCAGCCAAAAATAGATCCACTATTTCTAGACACCTTATGTTGTACTGGCAAGATACTTACATAATCCATCTACTTAGGAAAGGTGCCAAGTTCTTTTTCTCTCTTTTAAAATATTTTTGTTTTAGTTGTAGTTGGACTTGATTCCTTTATTTTATCTTTATGGGCTGCTGAGGTTTGAATCCAGTGCCCTGCACATGCCAGGCAAGCGCTCTGCCACTGAGCCACAACCTCAGCCCGAAAGGTGCCAGTTTCTATTGTAGAATGATGAGGGCAATAATCCATTTGTGGATATTTCATGTAAATAACTGGCCTATGCAGAAAAAATGTATTTCAACTATTTTTCTATTTTGACAATTGTCCAGATGCATAGTCTTCCTTTCTGAGGTCCAGCATGATTGGCTGGCTTAGGTTCTCATATGCTGTGGGTTTCTCAGAAGGGACTTGCAGACAGCCTGTTCACCGTAGGATCAATACAGGTGTAACTGACCATTGCAGTCAGGACAGTGAATCTGGTTTCATGGGTGGACTTTCCAGTCTGCACTGCAAGGCACATTAAAGGTGGACCTCAGAGGTGGGTCCCAGGAGTCTCTTGGTAACTTCTACTTAACCTACTGAGGTCATGAGGCTGTGTGGCTGTCAGCTCTGCAGCTGGAAATCTGCCTTCCTGTGCCTGGTCTCTGGTCATTTTCCCAATGACAAGCACGTGTTACAAATATAGCATTATCTCTGCAATTTTCCTGAATAATACATTTATAAAGAATTCCTAAGGCAGGCTGGGGATGTGGCTCAAGCAGTAGCATGTTTGCCTGGCATGCGTGCGGCCTGGGTTTGATCTTCAGCACCACATACAAACAGAGATGTTGTGTTCGCCGAGAACTAAAAAATAAATATTAAAAAATTCTCTCTCTCTCT